CCTGCTCCTGCCCTGCTCCTGCTCCTGCCTTGCTCCTGCTCCTGCCCTGCTCCTGCTCCTGCCCTGCTCCTGCCCTGCTCCTGCTCCTGCCCTGCTCCTGCCTTGCTCCTGCTCCTGCCCTGCTCCTGCTCCTGCCTTGCTCCTGCTCCTGCCCTGCTCCTGCTCCTGCCCTGCTCCTGCCCTGCTCCTGCTCGTGCCCTGCTCCTGCTCGTGCCCTGCTCCTGCCCATTTCAATACAGATGAATTGTCAGGGGAAAAGTAGGGTGATTCCTCTAGACTTATCCGTAGTGAATTACTCAGTCCCAAACACGTAGACTGCTGTTTCAAGGACAACAGTAGTCTCGGGCTCTGCCATTTTCACCGGACACATACTGTAGAAACACGAGTATCATGACATTTAGGAAGCCTCATGGTGGTCATGATGAGTTGAAGAGAATGCTAAATATCTAAATGGTAGAGGATGGTCGCAAAATCCCCTAAGATTTACAGCCAACAGTAGCCGAGAGGAATACATATTTTAAGTTTGACAGCAGCAACTTTATTGACTGCAGGAGATTCTGCAAAACTGTTAGGTAAACTAAAAGAGTGGACGCCCATAATCAGCTGATAAAAAGCACCAAGAGGAGTGAGCTTTCTTCCCTCTGTTGCTCATCATTTTTGATTTAATTTGATTACAATCCTCAATGACACATTAAAAATGTATTTTCCACACAGAATAAAGTTGTGTGCTCCTCTTAAGTCACCTGCGGTCATCCAATTCAAATGAGTCAGTGGTAAACATTTTGACTAAAAAGATGGAAGTTTTCAGCGTTCACTAAAATGACAAAATGCAGAGTGTGCTCCAGTCAATTATTTTCTCCTGTGTTGGAAACGTTATTTTTTATTTTATTTTTTCCTTTGATTACGTCACTGAAAATCATTTTTTCAAAAGCTCCATACTTGTCTATCAACCCATGTAAAACATTGTGTATTTCTCACTAAAGCTAACCCCAGGACACAGACCTTCACACTTTAGCCTAGTTCTGTGGGCAAGAAGCATTTGAGATGCTCTGCCAATAATTAGTATTCAGAGCGAGCAAGTCAAAGACAATTCTTTTCAGTCAATTCATGTTGACTCATATCCTGGTTGGATTGGTAATGTGGCCATACAAATGTTAAGTGTCAAATTGAATTTAGACAATCATATGACATTAAAACTGGAAATATATGGTAGCTGTAGAAAAACAACTCAGGAGTTAATTATTGCCTTTATATAAAGGATTCATTTAGAAACAAAACATTTAATCATTTATAATACAACTCTCAAACTGTTATTAGATACCTGATACATCATGTATTCTTAAATTAGGTAAGTAAGTAAGGTTAAGGTCTTTATTTCACTTAATTGACTTAACATAAATCAGAAAGACCATCTCAAATGTGCACACACTGAAGCTAAGCATAATTGCACACAGTCAGAGGCTTGCCTAGCAACTGGCTTGCATTGCTAGGCAACAGCTTGGGTCCATGTTTACTTCCTGTCAGCTGATGTCATTCACATACACAGCAACCAAGGAGTATTTACATGTATGTATAGGTTACTTGCACTGCACCAGGAAAGAAACAGACACATCCAGAGTGTTGACATTAAACACTGTGAAACGAGTAAGAGGATTGAAACCAAATGTTTTGTTGGCGATGGACAATTCAACCCCCAGCTAGCTCTTTATCAGTGGGAATTGAGGCTAATCCGTATAAGTCTACCCTTCCCTCACACTATACAGGGTGGCGTAGATTGTAGAATCCCCAATTCACACACATGTATTAGAGTTTGGATGATAGTCAAATCAGCTGAAAGTACTATTGTCGTACATTTCGCTGCTTGGTATGAAAATGTCTGCTGAGCTTATTCTCAAAGTCACATTTTAATCACGTGTATAAGGGAGATGCACCCATTGCAATTCCCTTGGAAGTTCCGAGGGAATTTAAGCCTGACATGTCAATTCAAAGAACTTTAATTTACAACATATGCAAACGTTTTTTTTTGTAGTTGTTTGTTCAAATTAAAATATTGATAAATACATTTTCTCCAAAAAGAATCAGCAAATTGCAGAACCTTGATTATACTTCAACACACCTCCCAATAAAACTACTCAAGGTTACTCGACAAATTAAATCTAGCTAAAATGAATTGCAGTATATCTCACTTTATTTAACACATCTGTATAACACACTAGTTCCCAATAATTTTTTTAAGGAAACTTGGCCGTTTTTCAACCAGCTTAGTATCACTATTGTGGGTGGTATGAGGGGTGTTTGTGTATAGTGCAGACCCTTGGTGAGCTCCGGGCGCCAGTAACACAAAGGAAAGCCAAACAAGGCCCATTTGCACACACCACCCACAATGCAACAACACAAAGCTGGTTATAAAATCTGCAAAGTCTCTATTTACAGATGATTATTTTGGACCTTGCATGGCAGGCTCGATGTCTCTTTACTTGAACCATGAAACCATCATGCTTTCAGAAATATCTATCTGTCGCCATAAGTGGTTTATCCCTAATTACAGAAATATCAGATTCCCAACAAGAAATGCTTCTATTGCTCTGTATTCAGTGAGAGATGCAACTTTAAGCCGAGCCACTTGCTGATATTTTAATTCTTTATCTAAATCCCTCAGGGTGGGCATCCTAAATGAAATAAGACCCCACAGTTTGATGATTGATAGGTGTGTGGGCTGTCTTTCATTTTGACACACAGAACAATGTTATAATAAACATACGTATACTGTATGTTAAATGGATATATCCGCCTTCTTTCATTTATCTTTCCATTCCCACAACAATACACATAAAGAAATGGCATATTTTGGACATAGTTTGAATGTTATATATAACGACTTTCTTTTTGCTTCACCCTCATAATGGTGAATACACATGTCACTTCATGTTCAAGAATTAGAAAGGGCTCAAACACAAAGGTCTTCACACACAACTGTTGGATGCTGGGGGTTTTGAATATCCCATGATGCACGTTACAGACATCTTTAATCCATTATTCTGAATTCCTCCTCTTTCTGTCTACCTTCTGACCCTGAATGTTCCCTTCATCTCTCTCTCTCTCTCTCTCTCTCTCTCTCTCTCTCTCTCTCTCCTTGCTCCTGTTATGTTCCTCCTCCTTTCAGACACAGCAGCAGCCTCTGCAGTCTGAACGGTGTTAGCCTAAATAATGACGGTGGTGTAAATTGCAGTTTAATTGGAGCCCTTGAGATAGGCCTGTACCCTAATGATGGCAGATCTAATCAGGAAGTGTAATCTCTCCATCTAACACCAGAGGGATTTCAATCTAAGTTTGGATTTCAATGTAGTTATTTTGTCTGGATCTTAATGTATAAGAAAATTAGGAGCTGGCAGACACGCAAAAGTATTTTCTAAAAGTATTTGTGGTATAATCAGTAGGACAATCAAGGTGTCCTTAAGCTGTCTTTGCTTGGACTTTGGATTGAGTTAACATAGTGTTTAGTAACTGTTGAACATGCCTTCTTGTGATGCAGTGAGAATAAGGGGTGACAGCTGATTAAATAAAACAACAGGACCAAGCTTACTGATCTTGCCTCTGTGTTTCACAGTATGGACGGTCAGACAGCTACCGCGTGGCCACCACGCAGGACAAGGATAAGAAGGAGTCGCCCAAAAAGAAGGGAGGCAAGGATCTGGATGATCTCAAGAAGGAAGTTCCCATAGTAAGTGCACTGCTTCCTACTTCCAGTGGCCTCACTCGCTGTCATTTGACATCTTTTTTCACCTATTTGTAGTGCCATTGGTGGCTCACAAACCCCCAAAATGTCATTCCAAATGAATACAGACAGTAGAAAAGCTGTGAAAACCCATCTGTAGTCTGAATTTGCAAAACATTGTATCCTGGCCTTTCTCCAGCATTTAGAGAGCTGCAATCCAACTGTAATTTAATCTCCCTGTTTGAAAAAAAGACAACATGACATTCTCTAGCAGCTGGTTTCACAGTAGTGCTAGTTTGAGTTAATATACCAGGATATGTAATCCTGTTGTGGAGGGATTTTCTCCTGTGTGGTGCAGGAAGCCCAACCCTCAGGATATCCCTTGTTAAAAGACGTAATAAGCTGGGTCATATACAAGTATTTTTTATAAAACCTGAAACTTTAGCCAATTATAAACACATAGCTTCAGAATCACTTGCTCACACAACACCAACACGATTGCCCTTAAAATGTGTGTTCTTTGAAAAATGTTCCATTGCTTATTAGTTTCTTGAGTACAATCAGCATTTATATGTTTTATTGTATATAATAACTAACCGGTTGTTTTAGTTTAACTTTCTATTTGAACTCTTTGTAGACGGAACACAAAATGTCTGTTGAGGAAGTTTGCCGGAAATACGCCACTGATATTGTCCAGGTAAGTCAGAAATCACACAACGTCATTCACGACGTCATTCAACTTGATATGGTTTGTGTCCTGGTTTAACTGAGCTGATGATTCCAAGGTTGTTCATTTTACACTGACCTCCATGTCATAACACACATATACACATTTATTTCAATTTCTTAATGGTTATTTTACATATGCATGTCTTTTTGACCCTTTCTTTAACTTTACCTCCATCAACCCTTTATGATTCATTCCCTGCCTCCCGCCTCAGCTGATCCATTTTGTCTTCTTCTTTCCTCCTCTGCGCCTATCAGGGTTTGACCAATGCCAAGGCAGCAGAGTACCTGATCAGGGACGGCCCAAACACCCTGACTCCACCCCCCACCACCCCGGAGTGGGTCAAGTTCTGTCGCCAGCTGTTCGGGGGCTTCTCCATCCTGCTGTGGATCGGTGCCCTCCTCTGCTTCCTGGCCTACGCCATCCAGGCTGCCACTGAGGACGAGCCCGCTGGGGATAACGTAAGTGGACAGTTGCACTACTGTTTTGCAATACTTGTGAGAAACCACATATCAAAAAGCACCAGAGGGGGTAAACACATAGAGAACTACTTACTTCTCTCAGTGTGTATGCTACTTAACCTCCAGGACATCACTCAAAAAGCGATTTGCTGACTCACTACTCCTCAGGGGGGTGTCTGTGTCACTGATACAAATTGTGTCAGCCTTTTGTCTGAATCACTCCAACCCGTCCTCGTCTGACACACACCATCCTGTTGCCATCCATTCCTGGGCCCACCCCAGGGAGAGTGAGAGTCATGGCCATATGAGAGTAATGACAGTTCATGGGTCAGCTTGTTTTATGGCGGGTCAGAGCGCAGAGTTGAGCCGAGACTGAGAGTAAGTGGCACTGACACACAGTATGAGAGGACAAAATACTTAGATGTGACCACAGGGAAGCACTGGGGGTGAAACAACAACAGTGACCATTCAGCATGAGTTACACACTGTATCACTCACCCAGGATATCAATTCACAACATGATCAGTGTAATGCAGTTATGTCAGACGAGAGGACCATTTCAAAGATTGAATGTGGACCTTCTTATGACGATTGTCATGAAATCCATATAGGCAGAAAACAGATGATCATGTCCAAATGAAACCGCATGCTGCTGTCAGCTAAAGGATGAAACCTCTATAAAAGACAGTTTGTGTTGTTTACAGAACTTCATGAAAAAGTTCCTTTGCCTCTTTTCCAGCTTTGGATGTCAGGATGCCTCACTGATCATTTGTTAACGTAGTCACCGTCTGTGTCTTTCCACTGGTCTGTTATTTGTCTTCCTTTCCTCTGTTTTGACATTTTTAGATAAATTACGTTTTATTTTCATTTCTATCTTGTCTCTGTAGCTGTACCTGGGTATCGTGCTGTCAGCTGTCGTCATCATCACCGGCTGCTTCTCCTACTTCCAGGAAGCTAAGAGCTCCAAGATCATGGAGTCCTTTAAGAACATGGTCCCTCAGGTACTGGAAGCTCAATAACATTCCTATTTATTTTCCCAATCTCTGATGTAACTTACAATTGCATTACTTTTGTGCCTTTCACCTTTTCAGATTTCAGTTGGTTTTGGCATTACATATTTACTCTTTCCTTCTTTTTGCAGCAAGCCCTGGTGATACGTGAGGGAGAAAAGATGCAGATCAACGCTGAGCAGGTGGTGGCAGGAGACCTGGTGGAGGTGAAAGGAGGAGACAGGATCCCCGCTGACCTCCGCATCGTCTCCTCCCACGGCTGCAAGGTGGGTTACAGCCATAGATACACTACTGAATTTGTTTAACGCCAAGAAAAACTGTAAAGCTCAGTGAGGTTTTGTAGAGGTCTCAGTTGCTTAACAAAGTCATTTCAGTAACAAGAAAACTTGACTTTCAGTGGCAGTAAAGATGTGATTGCACAGTAGAAATCAGTGTGAGTGTGACATCTCCTTCAGCTTCTGTCTTCCCTGTTTGGAATCTGCCGGATGTGCTGGGTGAATCATTATTAATTAGAATAAGCACAGCATCCTCACAATGCCAGAATAAATCACTGTAAATTCATAATTAAACAGCTGTGTAAACGGTTGATCCTCATGCTAAATTCACACAGATGCAAATGTTGCTGTAAATCCTCAAAGTCACCTCAAATGAGTCTTGGAATGCTTTGATGTGAAGTTATATCTTTATTGAAAACAAACCGTCTTCATTCAAATAAGTGCTTGGTTTTAGAACAAAGCATTGAATGTCTGTCATATGTAACTACATCATCACCCTACAAATGATTGTGGTTATACAAATATAGTGGAAGGTGGACCAGTGCAAACAATGTTTTTTGTTTGTATGTTATTAATAACAGCCTTATGAATAAGACTTCAAAGCTTTGAAAACAAAGGACCTCTGTATAGCATCACAAACAATCAACACATGTACAGGGAGTATGAACAAAGAAAATCAAAACACAGGAAACACACACAAGCTGTTTCTAACTGGCCTTGTAACTAGTGTTATGCGGAATGCACCAGTTATCCACTCCCTTTTTCTCTCCTCTTTGCTTCTTTGGTTCTCACACTTCCAGGTGGACAACTCATCCCTGACCGGTGAATCCGAGCCTCAGACGCGGTCCTCTGACGGCACCCATGACAACCCCCTGGAAACCCGTAACATCGCCTTCTTCTCCACCAACTGTGTCGAAGGTAAGGCCACGATCACTTCTATGAACATGTGTTGACTGTAGCTATACAGTTTAGCTCACAACCTGTGTTCATCTTAATTGAACATGCTTTTATAAATGCATAAATAAATGCATAAACTAAACAATTTAATGCTATTAAATATATATTTATTTGTATAAAAAAACGACAGGTAATCACGGATTATGATGGAAAACAAGAATCAAAAGCAAACACTGTCCGTTGGAACTTAAAATCTCTTCAATTAGTAGTTTATAGTACAGCAAAGTAGAGAGATTTTGTTAAATAATTGTATCATTCAAAGATAGTACATTATGTAGGCCTGGAAAAACGGTTCTTTTTTTTTAATAAAAAATGTTGTTTTTATTTTCCTGGCACAAAAATGGAATAAATATCCACAACACAACAAAACACAGTCAAAAATTGTCATCGCCAAAATCTTTTCTATAAACATCGGCACCCGCTGAAAAATGTGACATCGGTGCATCCCCACTTCTATCCAAAATCTGAATTACCATCGTATATTCCACAAAGACGGTATAAACCAAAAACTGTTAGTGTAAGCCACTCTCCTGTCTTCTAACAGTTTCTATATGCACAGTTGGCTTCATGTGTATGTTTGTTTTGTCTTACTAACCAAAAGGCAACACAATAGCATTCACTGTAGATCACAGTCAAAGTGTTAGGTGTGCTGAAGGATGAGGGCTTAGTGACACCGCTGGTCTGGAAATGTGAGCCCATTTAACCTCATACCTGTTCCGTCCCATCATATTACTGGGAGGCCCTGCGACTCTCACTGAGCTCCACAGTGGAAGAATAGGAAAAGATGATGGATAGTGCGCTCCTGTGGACATGTTAGTACATTGCATTTGGTCCAGCACCAACCAGTCTGTTCAGGCAGTTGTCTATACTCAGTCTACACATTTTCATTTTCATTCTGACATGTCTGTTTCTGTTTTGCTCTTTCTTCATCTTGCCGTGAGTAAAGAAGTTAATAATATAAACGACACCCTCTCCTGTTTCTCTTCAGGAACAGCGCGCGGCATCGCTGTCTGCACTGGAGATCGTACAGTGATGGGCCGCATCGCCACCCTCACCTCAGGCCTGGAGACTGGCAAGGTACCATATTCATTATGTTATATTATGTCTTTCATAAGCACAAAATAAATGGAGGTTAGTTTTTTTCAAAACTGGCTTTTTGTTACCATAACAGTCAGGGATATTTGTCATAGTTTGTTAAAACTAGTATCTGTTTTGTCCCTTTACTTTATTTAGTCTTTGTCCCCTGTCAATTCTCTTTAGTTTTTATCATATTTAGTCAGACTCATTCTGTTTTTTTTCGTGAAGTTTAAGTTGAAACTAACATTAAAAAGGTTATTAAATAATAACAGAAGAGCTTCGAGCATTCCAGTGAAAGTCAATCATCTTCTTCAATCAGTCCAAACACCTTCTTCTTCTCCTACTCTTTAGACACCCATTGCTAAGGAGATCGAGCACTTCATCCAAATCATCACAGGCGTGGCCGTCTTCCTCGGCATGTCGTTCTTCATCCTGTCAATCGTCCTGGGTTACTCCTGGCTGGAGGCCGTCATCTTCCTCATCGGAATCATTGTTGCTAATGTTCCCGAGGGACTGCTGGCCACCGTCACTGTGAGTAGAAAGAGACATCTCTCAATGTTTGATGGTTAGGTAGGGAAAAGTTATTGTGTTTCTGAGGGACAGGAATTATTAGCTATGTTTACAAGGTTGATGTCCAGTTGTGTAATTACTTCAGTGCGTCTTGTTTTTTCTTGGGTCTTTAAGTCTTCATGGCCCTTGTGTGTTTGGTTTCTTCCTCAGTTCCCAGTGTTTTGCACAGACTTGTAACAGTATTTTAATTTACTTTTTATATTTCATATACACAACAAATCAGGAAAAACCGCTTTTAACATTGTTGTTGACATGTCATGTCTCTGTTCTGAACCACTAGATGGCCCCTTCTTTTCCCAAAGAGTACCCTTTAAACGAGGCCAAACGTATGGTTGGTTTAAGTGATGCAGGAATGAGTCCTAAAACCTGGAAACCTGGAAATTAGTTAGCATTTTTACAATTTCAAGTGATCTCGTCTAAAAATCAACAGTTTTTTGAATGTGTTTTTTTTAGATACCTGAAATAAGGGGGTGTTTTTAATAGAAGCTTAAGTGATTTCGACCTTTTGATCTATGACATAACATTTGTCAGTAATACCCCGCTCTTTCTTGTCCTAAGCTTCTATGTGTCTTCAAAACGACGGTTTCTAACACAAACTAAATGTCATCACACTTAACATTAGTGGACTTTTTTTTTTTTTGCGGCAAAATTCCAAAATCCAATTGATAAATTGCATTGCTTTTTGTCAAGGGAGCCATTCTGTTGCTAGCTTAAGAGTCTACAAAAACAAATAATCACAGCATCACTCTATTGTAGATATTATGAGAAAATGACTTTGCTCTAACACTTTCCCAAGCAGGTTCAAGTTTCACCCCTGTCTGATTGTGTGTTCAGGATGACGTTGTTTTGTCGTGTCTGCTGTTTGATTCTGTCCCTGCTGCTTCCAGTGCTGTGCTCGGGTTTTGTCAGTGTGTTGTCATGTCTCTGTGCATCTCTGTGTGTACCTTTGTATTATATGTGCTTTAACATTGTCTCTGTGTCAGTACCTGTTTCTGTGGTGAAGGTGGTGGTGTATTGTCCCGGTCTCTATATCTCTCCTCCCATCTCCTCTCTTCTCTCCTTCTCCTAAAGCAGCTCCACATGTGTTTGTGTGTTTGTGTTCTCTCTCTCCATCTTCCTCTGTGTATGTCTCTCTCTCTCTCTTCCAGGCCAGTCGTGGTGCTGTCTGCAATGACAACGGCTAGCTAATGTAAAGATATTAGGCTAATGACAGCTTCATAGACTGAATTCGGCCTCCTCTGCTTTGCTAGTTCTGTTTGGCCCCGGTGTCTTGCCGTACTTGGCATGATGACATAATGCACCGCCGCTCTGCATCACGGCTTCACTCATTCGTGCCTTGTTTTTCTATTGCATCGCTGTTTGGGCTGTTTTTGTATTATTTGGTAAAGGATGTTTTGGTTTTTAGTGCATTTTGCTGTAGAACATGGCTAAGAGCAGGCTGAACATCTTCAGGTTTCAGGGGCGGTTTAATTCATGGCTGTGGTTATTTGTTCCAGGTACAGTATGGCCCTGATGTGGCTGCTTATTAGCAGAAGTTGGTACCTGGAGATGTTCATCTGTGCTGTTAGTTTAACGCAGATACTAATTATCTCTTTCTCCTTTGGTTTGTTTCTCTCTCCGCAAATTCTTTCCTACCGTCATTCCTTCCTTCTCTTCTTGCTGCCATTTCCTCTCTCCCTTTCCTCTGTTCCCTTCTTTTCTTTTGTCTCCCTCGTGTCTCAGGTGTGCCTGACGCTGACCGCTAAGCGTATGGCTCGTAAGAACTGCCTGGTGAAGAACCTGGAGGCTGTGGAGACTCTGGGCTCCACCTCTACCATCTGCTCCGACAAGACAGGCACCCTGACTCAGAACAGGATGACGGTGGCCCACATGTGGTTCGACAACACCATCCACGAGGCTGACACCACCGAGGACCAATCTGGTGGGATTTCCCTCTCCCTCTTGTCTTCACGCAGCATGCCTTAAAACATCCTACAAATATTAAGAAACTCCAGCATCAAAATAAAAATCTGGTGTGCAATAAAGGCTTGTAAAAATATATGTTGGTTAGAAACCCCTACCACTCTTACCACCAATGAAATCATCAAATTAAATGGTATCTGCATTTTAAAACCTTAAAGTAGAATAACAGAAGAATCTTTTTTTCGAAACAAAAACAGCTAACAGCAAGCTTATGTGAATGAGTCTATAATTGTCTCATTCTCTAGGCTCCTCCTTCGACAAAAGCTCCGCAACATGGGTGTCTTTGGCCCGCATAGCCGCTCTGTGCAACCGTGCTGTGTTCAAGGCTGCCCAGGACACTCTACCCATCCTGAAGCGCGGTGTAGCCGGCGACGCCTCCGAGTCCGCCCTGCTGAAGTGTATCGAGCTGTCCTGCGGCTCCGTCAAGGCCATGAGGGAGAAGAACAAGAAGGTGGCCGAGATCCCCTTCAACTCCACCAACAAGTACCAGGTGTGTCCCCTTTTTCAACTAACAAACAATGCAGACCTGGTGAACAGGTTAAAACATTACATTTTTCTGATGCTCACACCTAAATCTGTTCCCATCAGCTCTCAATTCATGAAACTGAAGAGGGAAACGAAAACAGCTACCTGTTGGTGATGAAGGGAGCACCAGAGAGGATACTCGACCGCAGCTCCCACATCATGGTGCAGGGCAAGGAGCAGCCAATGGACGAGGAGATGAAGGAGGCTTTCCAGAACGCCTACCAAGAACTGGGAGGACTGGGAGAGAGAGTATTGGGTAAGGATGATAGAAGATTAACTAAGGTCATGATTTAGAACTCAGCAACGCCTGTATTTTAGTCTATGGTATCGTCCTTTTTGTAATTCATGTGTTTGTACTTCAGGATTCTGCCACGTGTTCCTGCCAGAGGACAAGTATCCAAAAGGTTTTGCCTTTGACACGGATGAAGTCAACTTCGAGACGGACAACCTTTGCTTCGTGGGCCTCATGTCCATGATCGACCCTCCCCGTGCAGCCGTGCCTGACGCCGTGGGCAAATGCCGCTCGGCTGGCATCAAGGTGGGTACATTTCAAGTGTGGCATTTAAAGGCCCAGACAAAAGAAGAACCGAGCACCCACCTGTGTGCGACGGCTGGGGATGACTGTCACACACATTTTAAAGGGAATTTCATATCATTTGTTATCAATAGTATTCTTTTCAACCGTATTTCCTCTTTCTTTCATTATTATTCTCATTGCATTTCCTCTATTTTACCTTTCATCTCTTAACTTGTTAGTAACTTTTGTCTATTTCTCCTTCCCTGTCATCACCTGCCTGTTTAACTTCTTCTTCCTGCTTTATTTCAGGTTATCATGGTGACTGGTGACCACCCAATCACCGCTAAGGCCATTGCTAAGGGTGTGGGCATCATCTCGGAGGGCAACGAGACAGTGGAAGACATTGCAGCACGCCTCAACATCCCTGTCAGCCAGGTCAACCCACGGTAAGACAAACTCAATGTGAGATTAGCCTCCCCTGCATAGCCATATACAGGATGGAATGGGACATTCACGATCAGTTTTATACAGTAAACGCTCGATGTAGGCTCATAAATTGCATAAATGTTATGTCAGTAGCTTGTCGTTAAACAAGTGTTTCCATTATCTGTGTCATGTAGAGATGCGAAGGCCTGTGTGATCCACGGCACAGATCTGAAAGACCTCAGTCAGGACCAGATGGACGACATTTTGAGGAACCACACAGAGATCGTGTTTGCCAGAACCTCCCCACAGCAGAAACTCATCATTGTAGAAGGCTGCCAGAGACTGGTATATTAACTTGATGCACACACACACACACTCTCATATACATGTACACAGGGGGGTAAAAGTGCACCTGCAAACAAATGCACTTAATGAAAAGAATGACAGCATGGTTATTGTGCATCCTGAATGGGAAGGAAAGCTCTAAATCGTGTCCTCTTCTCTGTCAGGGTCAGTGGTGTAAAGTAACTAAGTACGTTTACTCAAGTACTGTACTTAATTAAAAAATGTTGTTACTTGTGCTTTACTTGAGTTGTACTTCTACTCCATTACAATTCAGAGGGAAATTGTGTACTTTTACTCCACTATATGTATTTAATATCTTTAGTTACTTGCAGATTTTGAATAATGATATGAAATATAATCAACTCTTAATTCAGACTTTAGTTATCCTGGAGTAAAACTTACAACAAACCCTGCAGTATACAAAGTAATACAAATTAGCTGCACCTTTACCAGTAGTGATAAACACATCAATGCATTACTTATTATAATCAAAACACATCATATATATTAAACTAAAATGGGCCAATCTGCATAATGAGTACTTCTACTTTGGGTACTTTAAATCAAATCAAATCAAGTTTTATTTATATAGCACATTTTTAAAACAATTTTTGATCGAGCCAAAGTGCTGTACATACAATAAAAATACTCTACAATAAAAACACTTTACATCAAATACAACAGCACAAATAAAAAATCACATACAGGGAAATGTCAGGAGTCGTGCTCCGCTCTGACTAGAAGGCCAGAGAGAAGAAGTGAGTTTTAAGTGTTGAAACCCCTAGGGTCTGGGCCGACCTCACGTGGTTTTGAGCCTGGTCTTGGGCACTACCAGCAGCAGCTAGTCAGCTGACCTTAAGGCTCTGGCTGGGGTGTAGCGATGGAGGAGTTTGGCTATATATGCCGGAGCCAGCCCATTTAGGGCTTTGAAAACAAATAAAAGGAGTTTAAAATCAATTTTTGATTGCAGGACTTTCACTTAACAGAGTAGTCCTACACTCGGGTACTACACTTGGGTACTTTTACCTAAGTATAAAGTATAAGACCTAAGTACTTCTTTCACCTCTGGCAGGGTGCTATCGTGGCTGTGACAGGTGATGGTGTGAACGATTCCCCTGCCCTGAAGAAGGCTGACATCGGGGTTGCCATGGGAATCTCCGGCTCGGACGTGTCCAAACAGGCAGCCGACATGATCCTGCTGGACGACAACTTCGCCTCCATCGTCACTGGAGTGGAAGAAGGTGAGGGACGATGCATTCAGGAACAGTGGGAGCAAGAAAAACTGCCATGATGAAAGTTACCCAAATGGTAGAATCGAGGTAGAACTGCAAGGATTCGATTTTTGTCTTTCTTTGAACAACTTAACAATAAGTTGCCATCTATTTATTATTTAGTAAATGTCAGAAAAAAATTAACCTCTTAAATATAGACATTTCCTGCTTTTCTCTGCTTCATATCATTAAAGTGAACATGTTTAGGCAAGGCATTTAAAGAAATCCCCTCGAACATTCAGAAACTGGGATGGACATTTTTCACTACTTTCAGACATTTTATAGACTATAGATTTTGGAGCATTAATTACTAGCTTTCTACTGCAAAGCAATGTTAATGAATGCAATGTTAATGAGGTAATGAGCTGTCCCTCACGTTTATTATTATATATTATTATTTTTGGGATGCACCTGGTTTTTTTCACCATCTTCTTCCTTACAGGTCGTCTGATCTTTGACAACCTGAAGAAGTCCATCGCGTACACTCTGACCAGCAACATCCCAGAGATCACCCCCTTCCTCTTCTTCATCTTGTTCAACATCCCCCTGCCTCTGGGCACCATCACCATCCTCTGCATTGACCTGGGTACTGACATGGTAAGAGACACGGACATACAAACATAACTGGACTGTGCACACTGTAAACATTCACATAAACACTGTAGCATAATGTGCTTATGTCCACTCAGGCATTAAACATGCAGAAGGCACCTTCCAGCCACATGTGGCCCCATACACTCAGCTCTCTTTCATGCCTGATCATTGAACTCAGGCATGCACCGTGAACCAGTAATGCTCAGCTGTACACAGACATGTGAGCATGTCAGACAGGTTCTCAGCTGGCCAGTATATACAGTAATGCCTGGTTATTATCCTCAGGGCAACGAGAAAGTTCAAAAATGTTTCCACAAAATTAACACAATATAAAATAGAAGAATGTAATGTGGTAATATTCAGAATCTGCATAGAACAAGAAACTGAAACGTGATTTAATTTAAATAAGGCAGGTGATACTGAACACAAATTTAGAAATTAATTTCCAAGAGTTAAGGACATTTTGGAAGGTTGGGTTGATGAAAAAGTTGAGACAGAATAAACAGAAGAATAAATGGTAACTTCCGGGCAAATTTTGAAATGACACATTTGTCAGATGGTGCTCAGCAAAGAAGATTCATAATTTTCTTTGTTCTGTAGCAGTAGCAAACAATGCAACTATTTTCATCTGCATGCACTGCACACTATCAACCAGTCAAATAGGCTAGATGGACATCAACTGTAACATTCATCACATCTATTACTTGTCACCTGCATCATCAATAAACATCCATTTGGAGACCGTCGAGCATCTCAATGAATTAAACACAGCCCTGATATTGAGTTCAAGGTTGTGCCTAAAGCGTATTAAACAAGACGGGCACTAGGTGGCAGTGTGTTACCAGAACCAGTTTTTCATGATTGGAAAGTTAAGAATGTAAAGGGGGAAAAAGCATCATAAAGTGAATGCATTCAGTGTAAACCATCCACTTCTGATATAAAAGCACTAAAAGATGAATGTCTCCTCCGTCAGGTACCAGCCATCTCTCTGGCCTATGAAGCAGCAGAGAGTGACATCATGAAGCGCCAGCCCAGAAACCCACTGAGGGACAAACTGGTCAACGAGAGACTCATCAGCATCGCCTACGGACAGATCGGTAGGTGCCATGTGTTCTCATGAAATGATAAGCAAGGTATAATGTGCTGTGAGGCGGTCATTATTGAAAAAAGGAACACCCGATAAGCTGATCACGGAGGCCGACGCGACACTAAACAAACTAACGACTGGACTCCCAATATCAATTGAAATGACAATGACTGATTCATTGACTTGAAAATGATCATACTGCTTCCGCTAAGAAAAGAAAACTCATGTTGAAATGAACGGCAGCACTGATTGAGGTTTTCTGTAACTCCAGGTCTGTTCACAGTGTCTTTCCCACTAACAAGTCCTTAAACAATGCAGAGCCCACACCGTGTCCCTTTCCTTCTTTCCCTTGATCCTCCTTAGCAACATTGATGGTATGCTTAGCAGTGGTGTGTTATTGATATGCATAACCTCTGGAATGTCCAAATTGTCCTATCAGAACTAAGCCGTGCAATAACACAAAGATATTGTCTTTCTGAACGCATGTTGACACCGACACATGATCCAACTGCAGTAACCATCAAAAATATTTTTGCTGTTGGTTAATGATGACCTATTGCGCACATTTTAATCCAATGAATTGTTTTAACAGTCTTGCAGTTGTTTTAAAAAGTATATCATCTGACCCTAATATGCAGTGCTTTGCAAGGGATTGTAAACACTACTCACTACGTAGTACTATAACCAAATTAGTAAGTTGTGCATTTTAACTTAACGGAATAGTATGTGGATTTTGTGTACGAGAGAAATGAACTCATGTATTCAACATTAGCAATAATGAAACACCAGCCTACTGGAAATACTCAACTGAACCACAAAGCATTGGGTCTTTTCAGAGAAATTGGTCCAGGTGTTACCAGTCTATGGGTGTTACTGAGGTATGTTACTTTATTAGGTTTAATTAGAAAGTAAACAATTTGATTCCCAGTATGTGGTCAGTTTAAATGTTTGCTGCAACCTTGCCGTCAGTCATGTGATGCAGTCTCGTCATCAGTTTCAATGATTTAAAGGGGGGTATAAACTACAAACTCTGTTTCTGCAGGTATGATCCAAGCTCTTGGCGGCTTCTTCGCATATTTTGTCGTCTTGGCAGAAAATGGTTTCCGGCCGTATGATCTTGTCGGCATCCGGCTCAACTGGGACGATCGCTCCAACAACGACCTGGAGGACAGCTATGGGCAGCAATGGGTAAGAGTGATCTGACACAGCATCAGTGTTCTGCTGCTTCAGGGGCTCTGTGTGATTGACCTGACGGAATAAAAGAAAGCATTAATACAAGTAAAAACCATTTATTATCACAAATCGCATATATTGTTTGTTTCTTCCTCTGTCTAGACCTATGAGCAGCGTAAGATAGTGGAGTTCACTTGCCACACAGCCTTTTTCGTCAGTATCGTGGTGGTGCAGTGGGCGGACGTCATCATCTGCAAGACCAGGCGTAACTCTGTGTTCCAGCAGGGCATGAGGTCAGTCACACTGCTCTGAGGTTCATTCTAATTGTGTCTTTATCTTCAGCTTGTGATCACAGTACCAAATGTCTGGTACCTTCTACAACTTGAGTCAGTCGGTGCCAATGCATTAGCATCGTGCGGATATAGTCGATGTTGTTACCACATGCAGATACTGCTGCATGTTCGTGGTGAAAAGGAACTCATTTGCATTTACTCAACTACTGTACTTCTATTTTTCAAGTAGATTCATTTAGTATTTTTTATTTTTTGCTTCTTATTGCTACCTTTGCTGCACTATTTGCATTGAATTGTTCCCTTCTATTAATGATCAGAACATGTGATACAGTTAATATCAATGCAGTGCTCAGAGAACATACTTTTACTCAAATATACACCCATCTCTACTAATGCAGGTATTTGATCAGTAATAAAAAGCAGTTCAATCTCAAGAGGAATGGGGAAGTGTTGGCAACTCTGCATTGCTTTGTTTGTTGCAGTTTCCCACTGCTGTCACTAGATGTCACTAGAGAGCCAAGTTAACCTGACACACCTTTAATTTATAGCCCCAATTTATGGGATAGGTTATTATTGTTCCCTTTTTCCCCTCCATGTCTGGTTCTTACCCGGTCTATCCTCTTTTTGTTCTGCAGGCAATATTTAAGGTGCTAAGACACAAACCCGGATTCTGATGCTGCTGTAGCCTGCAGGACATCAACTTTGAAGCCATTTTATGATCCAAAAGTAGATTTAGAATCTAACTGATGTAGTCCTCTGTTTACGCAAGAGCGCAGAGACAACACATGACCCTTGTAGTCTTAAAGTGGCAGAAAACATTGATTCCTCTCTTTGTGAACTTATTGTCTTGCAGGAACAAGATTTTGATCTTCGGCCTGTTTGAGGAAACGGCCCTGGCTGCTCTCCTGTCTTACTGCCCAGGCATGGACGTGGCACTACGGATGTACCCGCTCAAGTAAGCTACACATCAGTTTAATGCACATTTATATTTTCAGGGGTATTCAATTACAAAAGATTGTGGTAATGTCATGTAATTCAAGTTTGTATTCTAAATATTATATCTTAGAGGTCCTTACAGCTGCAACAGCAGTAAATACCACAACCTTCCTTTATAATACACAAATAAATCCTTTTACTTTTAAGGCCGGTGAATGAGTAGTGTGTTCTTCATTAATGTATCATTCGCTCCGTTCTCTCTCAGGCCCAGCTGGTGGTTCTGTGCGTTCCCGTACAGTTTCCTCATCTTTGTTTACGATGAGATCCGAAAACTCATCCTTCGCCGAAACCCAGGAGGTAAGATAACACGCACAGACACACTCATACCTGCAGCATGAAAGTTGCAGACTTTTAATATTAACCAATTAATCATTCAATAGAAAATGGTGTTAAATCGTTTTATTCAGGGAAGCACTATACTACAGTACACAAATATATATTTCTCTCTTATTATTGCGATTAATAATACACATTTTAATTACATTCTAGCGTGGATTTTACTGGGTGAAAATAAGTCAAATGCAAAGGGAAAACATATAAGCTATACATTACAAAGATAACCAAATAATCAATCGTTTTTCAGGTTACAACTTTTTAGGACTCATTTTAAAGTCCTAAATTACAAATTGTATTTTTGCCTTAATGCTAATCACTTGATTACATGTGTTGATGGGTAACTCTTCTCTCTTTCTTGTGTCCCTCTTTTCCCTCTCCTCTTCGTCTCTACAGGCTGGGTGGAAAGAGAAACATACTACTAAATTATCAAAACATCATTTACTTCTCAGCCGTTCTCCAACCCTTCTTCTCGTTCTCCCTCTCTTTCCTCCGTCCCTCCTTCCCTCCCCTCTCAACAATTGTTCAAGAAAATAACCTCTCCTCCTCCTCCTCCTCCTCGTCCTCCTCCTCCTCTCCATCCCTTAAAGTTAGAACAAAACATTGCGCGGACTAACAACAGAGGAGGAGAGGGTTAGGGTCTGTCCCTGTCCTCTCTGTCCCTCTGTCCTCCTGTGTTATCCAAAGTCTAAACAGCATATGTCTGCCAGTAGCACTGATGAGCCAATCGTATAAGTGCATTGTGAGCCGCGGCCCCTCTGCATACATGTCCTCAAACTGAATAAAGAATATGAGACAAGTACAAAAACGATTCCTAAGTGGGGATTAGAGCAGGTGGGTGGTGTCTCTTTAGTTTTCCTGCCAGAGAGAAGCCATCCAGATGCCGCTCCTAAATCTCTGCCATTTCCTGCCATCCTCCATCCCTTCCTCTCCTCTCTTTCTCTTCATACGTACACACTGCCAAGCTACTACTGCCGTCATCCCTCCTCCTCCTCCTGCCCATCAATAAAGAATCAATCTCACCATAAAACTTCACTCACGACCCTCAACAAGGTGGAAAAAAGGTCACTTCCTCTGCCCCATTCCCTGTCTCCCTTCCTCTCCCCCATGTGTTATTTGTTGTTGTTTTCTATTAGACGACTGGGTGTTTTTTAAGAAATTGTTCGTTTAAGTTTTTTTTTTAAGTTTGGAGTGGGTCTGGAGAGCTGCTCGTTTTCATTCAGACATGACAAAGCACACTGTCTCTTTCTCTCTTCTTTCTCTCTCACACCCTGACTGCCCCTCCCTCCTCACCCTGCCTGTTTATCTGTCCCTGTCTGTCTGTTGGTGAACACCGTGCAAACCCTCCGTCCTTGTGAACCTCCACCCACTTTGAATACCTGCCTCCTCTTATTCTCCCACCCTTACTCCCCCCACTCTTTCCTCAAACCCCTCCCCCCCTCCAACCTCATCCCTGTTTAAAAATTACAATCTTAATGTGTCCTCGAAAAAAGAGAAATCGCTCTGATTTCATTATTTAAATCAGTGGAAATATGGAATAAGGCACTGTACCTTAAAGGTGGGGTAGGTAAGTTTGAGAAACCGGCTCGAGATACACTTTTTGTTATATTCCATGAAATGCTCTTAACATCCCGATAGCAATGAATATCTGAAGTGCTTTGACAAAAAATCCATAAAAAAATGTCCTCTGTGGAAGCCGTAGTACTGTAAAAAGCACGACCAATCATTTAAGCCGGCCCGGCTAAAGTAACTGGATGGCCTACCTGCCTGTCAGCCTTCCATCTGTGCACAAACTTATCTCGTGCCCTCATTGGTCATGTGCGCGTTCGTGTGTGTTGGAGGAGGGGCTCTGTAAGGAAGTGACAGATTTGTTCCCGTTGTGTATTTTCAAATTCTAGCGCACTCGAGCTGGTTTCTCCAAAATTACCTGCCCCACCTTTAACTTGCCAAACAGCAGCGAAAACAAAAAAAATTAAATTAAATACAATAGAAGGATCTCTCGTTTTCAGCTTTCTCTCAAGTTTGTTTTTGTGTGGAGTTTTGTCAGAAAATTGAAATAAATGCTGTGACCAACTCTTATTTATGGCAGCAGTGTCAAGTCCTCTGTTTTCTACCACATCTCATGTCTACAAATATGCTGTTAAGTTAGGCATTTGGTAAAAATGTTGTTTCTCTGAAAATAGGATTAAAGAAAATTTTTCCAGAACATTTTCAATCTGTTATGGGCAACAGGCTCTTACACACATAGTACATTGAATTACTGCAGAATCCATCAGTTCAATACGACTTCAAGAACTCCTTGCAGGCATCAGATTCATATGTTCAGCTTTGTAGGTAAGAAACAACAGTCTCACCAAAGACAAAAGGTCCAAATAGTTTCATACATTATTTCATAATCTCTCTTAGCAAATGAAGTTTGCCCAGCTGTCGTGAAAATATAGATGTTCAAATGTTCTTTCTTTTTAGCACCTACAACCTATGTTCTCGTTGGCCACTTGGTGGCAACAGAAACAAGCTGTGAACATACTGTATGAAAACTGTTAAGATGAAATGGCGAGCTCGACAGCTAACAGTTGCTTATGTACACATTATGCTGTTATGAGGCAATATGATCATACATTCAGTCATGTTCGTGCCCACCTGAAGTCCAATATTCAATATTTTTTATCTCTGTTCTTGGTCTTCACCAACCTCAGGGAAAAAAGCCTTTTTGTTGCTAAAGGCCTACATCCACCTACTAATGTCCCTTACTATGTCCGACTGCTGTTTGATGCTGAACAGGTAGGTACAGTCGGTTAAGACATTGCTATTTAAATACAATTATTATGCAAATATCAATAAAGGACTTCACGTCCATGTTGAAGTTACGATCTTTGATAAAAAGTGTATTCTTGACATGCCTTAATCTAGTAAATGTGTCACGAGCACTGATGTGAGACATGTTAAGTGAAATGGACCTTGTGTTTATTTGTTGGTTTTGCTCATGGTTTTGCTATACTGTTTCAAAGCACAAGTAAGAACTTCTAATTCAGAACTTTGAAGCTGACACGGACAAGAAGTTCTGGAAGCGCTCAGTAAAAACAACTGGCAATTCCGTAACTCTGCTGAAGGAGAGCATGCAATATAATCAAAAGCACCAAGAACACTTTAATGCATGGACCTGTTGGTGAAATAGTTTCCTATGTGAGTCAAGAATACATATTTTAAAGAAAGAATCAGGAGCATTGTTAAAGTATTGCAATATGAACATTGCTTTACCATGGCCTACACACTATCAACATAATGTCAAGGCTATGTTTGCTTTTCTCTTTAGAAAGAAACTTCTGTTGCTATGAGAAGGCTTTTTTCTTGCACATGAACAGGGCAGGCCTGTGATGTCTGCAGAGGAATTGAACTAAACAACCTTTGGGGGAAAAATGTAGTGACTTGAACAAACAAAAGGTTGGAATGACCGTAACACTGGTAAGAACACACAGAAGATGTCTTCATGTAACCTCTTCTATAACCATCATGTAGAATGTTCCCTCATCCTGTATTACAGACCCTCTTTACAACTATCTGCAGGCTTGTCAGGGTCGTCATCCTCAAAATGTGTGGCTCAAAGTGTTTGGAACCCACAACGTACCTGAACATCCTTCCAACTCAAGTAAGTTTAAACAGTGTGTGAGGGTTAAACACATTTCATAACAAACCATCACACAACAGGCAAAATACAATTGAACTCTTTCAAAGTTAGTCAGGGGTAAACTCTCAATAGATTTTATGTATTACCTTCCAAATCATTTATACTAGACTCTAATAAGGGTTCTTCCTGACTGGCTAAGGTTCTAACGTATAATTTGCTCTTTTAATTAAAGTGTTTTATGTAATACCACAGGTTTTATTATAACCCTTTTTGGAAGAAATAGTTTTTCAATAATTGATGAAAGCAAACTGATTGTTAGGGTTAGTGCCTCTGTGTTGCTTTACAACATCAGCAAGGCCCTTTCCAGGATAAGGCCCCTGGATGCGGTTCTCATGGCCGCAGGCGGACACGCTGAAGTAAAACCATCTAATCGTGGTTTGCCCTAACCACCATCTACAAAGCATCAGATTCTTACGTTTTTAGTTCATCTGTAAAATGTAATATGATTCTTCATAGAACCCTCGGAATACTTGAGGTTTATAGGTGGAAGCTTGATAAAAAAGTATATTTTTAGAGGCTCCTTGGATGTGTTCTTGATGACACCCTTTGGAATGTATAAAGAGTTATCTGTAGAACCACATTGGTGGCTTATTGTCAGCACCCTCATAGTGGAATGTTGGGTTCTAGGTGAAACCCTCTGAAAGGGTTTCTGAGTGGAACCTTCATTAAAGGGTTCTGTTTTGAGGACAGTTCTAGGTAGATACCTTATACGTTTAGGTTATGTGGTAGTTAGCATCCTTTATTGTTCTAGTTAATATCTTATAAGGATCTAGTTTGCAGATGTTATGGTTTAAGTAAGCACCCTCTATGGTCATAGTAAGCACCCAATATGGTTCTAGTTAGCACCTTTATTTTGTTCTAGTTAGCAGTCTTTATGTGTTCAGTTAGCACCTTTTATGTTGCAAGTTAGCAGCTTTATGGTTCTTGTAAGGACCCCATATGGTTCTAATTAGAACCTAATATGGTTCTAGTTAGTAAATGGTTGTAGTAAGTATATTTTAGTAAGCACCCTTGTTGGTTCTATCTAACACCTGTTATGGTTTAATTCAGGGGTATTCAATCAACCCTAACATTAACACATTTTATTATACAGCAACTGCTCTAAATGTAAATACATAAACAAACAGCTGTGATGTAATTGGGAGGACCATGTGTAACAGGGTTTTAGGCCGTAGCCATTTCTAAATGTGTGATATTGAAATATAACTGAAACAAGGAGGCAGCAGTATCTTCTGTTCAGCACCAGTAACATGTAGCCAATATGAACACATTTCCCAACAAGCTTTCGAATCCGCTTCACAAATCATTTTCTAATATCCAGTGAACTACTCGACAGGGACATCTATTCTGCTGCTGCACTTAAGTGCCAACAACACAATGATGCTCGAGCACAGAATACTGTTATACATCCTAAAGCTTTTCAGTTTTTTTGGAACAGGACTTTCTGCTGTCTATATTATTTTTGCATTTATATTTTTACAATTTAAATTAGTTACCTGATTTGGCATTAAACCTGTTTAGTTTAATTGCTTTGTAACCTAAGTTGACATCAATTTCTAATAACATTAATAGTTAATAACACAAGCAAAAACACTTAATGTACAAAATATGATGAATTGTATTACTTTAATTTTAAATTCTGTTACACAATAAAAAACAGGAGTTTAAAGTATATTACATGCCATACCTGCAAGGGTTATACAACCATATTGAGTTGTTTATTGTGTAAATAATTTAAACAACTGAATTAATTATTTATACAGTTTATAAACAGTTTCTTTATAAATAAGCAGCCTGTGACTCTGTTTGGGATCGATAGTTTTATGCCTCTACTCGTGAACGGATGAGTCAATTCAGTTTTAAGTGTGTGTGTGTGTGTGTGTGTGTGTGTGTGTGTGTGTGTGTGTGTGTGTGTGTGTGTGTGTGTGTGTGTGTGTGTGTGTGTGAGTGTGTGTGAGAGTGTGAGTGTTTGTGTGATTGTGTGTGTGTGTGTGTGTGTGTGTGTGTGTGTGTGTGTGTGTGTGTGTGTGTGTGTGTGTGTGTGTGTGTGTGTGTGTGTGTGTGTGTGTGTGTGTGTGTGTGTGTGTGTGTGTGTGTGTGTGTGTGTGTGTGTGTGTGTGTGTGTTTGAGCAGACTCTGTGTTTCATGAATACTATTACAAGGCTCACAGAGCAAATGAGTGCTCCTACTTGACACACACACGCACACACACACACACACACACACACACACACACACACACACCCTTCTAACCCAGGGATATAGGTCACCTCCTTCGTGTGCTCATTGTTTTTCTTTCTCATATTTCCTCTATCTCGAGTGCCGTGCAACATTTGATCATTTCTTCCTCTTGTTCATTAACAACTCAACCCTTACACACGCACGCATTTTTGTTTTTTTGATCACCACCAAGTTAGTAATATTTCTATGTATTTCAGATTAGTTTGTCAAATCAAATATTTGCTTTATGTACAATAAAACAATAAAAACCATCTGTTTAGAGAAATAATTGTTACAGAAAGTCTAACAATGCAACATACCCTGTGTTAAATTAGCACATTGTTCCTAAACAAGGTCTCAATAAAATACTTACAGATAAATGTTAAAAGGTCAAAGTTATGTTTAGTGCGGACCCAGAATTAAATTACACTACAAATACTTTTGCAGAGTTCATATAATGTAATCACGAGGTACATACAGGCTTCACACACACACACACACACACACACACACACACACACACACACACACACACACACACACACACACACACA